CTCTCTGTGTACTGTTAAATATTTATCCCAGATTTCTGTTTTTCATAGTTTTTCTATGGTTCATCATGGCCCATCTTCAGTCTCATCATACTTTTTAATAAAATAGTTTCTTAAACATTTTCAGAGTGTGGAAGTATCGCAGGCTGTATATGAATGCGAATGGTATGACGTTCCAGAAAAATTAAAACGATCTTTATGGATTATAATGATAAGAGCTCAACGGCCATTAAAAATATCCGTTGGACCGTTTTTCATATTAACAACCGATACAGCAATAACGGTAGGCTAGTAAATTTTTTATTAATTAATAAATATTGTTTATATTTATTTATTTTTAGTCTATAAAAGCTGCTTATTCATATTTTACTCTGCTGAGCAATAGTCAGAACAGAAATCAAAATTAATGAATACAAATAAATCAATACTGATTGCAAATAAAATTTCTTGAAACTACATTAGATAATTTTTAAATAATATATGTATAGAGAAATAAATGTAGTAATTTACTTAATTTTGTATAGTATCTATTTCTTTTGAACATTTAAGTAGACAATTAATTACATTTAATTTAGTTTTATTTAATTTGTCCTAATAACCTAATCCTTCTAAGTACGAAATACAAAAATACAAATCAGGTTTCCAGGTTGCTGAATCTAATAATATTGTTATGAATTGACGTTAATTAATTTTTCGTCACCCTCGTAAAGGTTCCTTCCTGTCAGCTACAAGCGAGAAGGACTGTAGATTTATATAACTTGTAGAATGTACCATTTTGTTAATGCACTGTTTGGAACGTTGAAATTAAATAAAAACTTCTGCTAAATTGTTTATTTTACCACTACAAACTTTCAACTGAATCATATAACAATGTTTACTAGTGATAATACGAGATGGTAGTACCACATTTTTAACAAATGTGAAAACCCCCCCAAAGGCGCCCTATCGGAGGCTCCCCACCAAAAGCGAAAAATTTTTTGGGGTGCCACGCCCAAATTTTTAACAAAAAGACGTTTAAAAAACTAGCTTTGGGCAAAAATTTATCACGGTATTGTCCAAATAGATATACAATTTTAATTAAAAAAATATATGAATGACGGATACTTTTATATCTATTATATTACTATTATTTATGAGGTTTCTAACACAAATTTTGCCACGAAACAGGCTGTCAGGATTAGTCTTATCCTAAACTTTGCCAATAAATTACTCAAAACTTATCAAAGAACTCTGTAAAATTAATTAAAAATTATAAATTAACTTACCATATACCAAAAAAATCACAAAATTAAAACTATACCTATTTACAGTATTTATACACGCGCACAAAGTTGCTTGATATTGTTAGATTATATTTAAAATATTTGAAATTGGCCCTATTATATTTATTCGGTCGATCACGCATGTGCGCCAAATAAGTGGTACCTGATCCAAAAGGAACGAAATCACCGCGGCAGTCACTGCCTGACATTGATCGAGAATCGACTTTATTAAAAAATCTAACAATATACTAGTTTTAAAGTTTCCGATAAATGAAGTCTATTCTTCTTTCTTTTTTGGTTGCAAAGTTTTCTATTACTTTATTATTAAAATTTTCAATTGCATTTACAAAATGTTTTTCTGAGGACAATATACCTAAAGCACTAAGTCTTTCTTCCTTCATTATATTTCTGAGGAATGTTTGAATCCGTTTAAGTATTGAAAAACAGCGCTTTGCTTCAGATGTTGATATATGTATTGTTATCAAAATACCTAAGAGTTTAAGAGTTTCCTGAAATGTACAATTTAAACCTTCCTCATTTAATAAAATTGACAGTGGGATAGCCCCGGAAGTGGTACTTAATTCGTCTCTCTAATACAGTACTTGTAATTCATTTTTAAGCATATTTTTGTCTAAAAATGAAAATTGTATACATATTTTATTGAGAAATTATTCGGGAAACTGATGCCTATAGACCGAAAACTTCTCCGACATAAATAAATTAGAAGCGACCAAATGCCCAGAGAAGCTGAACCTTGTTTTTATTTGCAATAAAACGGTATCGCATATTTCTAAGGCTTCGCGTTTTCTGCTGTTCTCTACAATTCGTGCCTTTTTTCTTATTGGTTCACCAGTTTCTCGTTGCGACGTGTTTATTTCTCCTTGAATATTGTTAATAACGCTGTACATTTGTTCCCGTGTACCTTGAATTGCTGCTTCGAAATTCTACAAATCTTTCTTGACCTTAACAGAATCTGTGCCTATTTTTTGTAATTGGTTAAAAATAATTTCCACGTGAGGCATTATTTGATGAAAAATACTTAACCAAAATATAAAATTTTTATCCTGAAGTTTTAATTTGTACTGTCTTTTGTATTTTCATAAATAGTATTAACACCTCGCGATTGAAAATTTCAACGTGTTTGGGAAAATCTTGGCAACCTGCGATTAACTACCTCATCCAACATTTTTGTTCTTTTAGAAGACGTGGAAAAGAAAGAGCACAAATCAGATAAATGAGAAAAACAGATTCTTGCCTGCTTATTGACAGAACATGCACTTGTCATAACTAAATTCATCTGATGTGCATAGCAATGAACGTAATTTGCAAGAGGATATGTTTGTTTAATAATTTTTTGCACACTATTTAATCCACCACTCATTACAGCCGCGCCGTCATAGCTTTGAGCAATTAATTTATTTGGAGTATGTTTAATTAATGGATGTAAAACATTTAAAATTCATTCAGCAATTGATTTGGCGTCGTGTCCATCGAGCATGTAAAACCTCCAAAATCTGGTCGTCCTTTACACAAATATCTGAAAACTATAACTAATTGAAATTCTCATGCAACGTCCGTCGTTTCATCGGCAATCACTGCATCAAAAGGAGAATTTTCTATTTCTTTCCTAACTTCTTCGTGATAAACATCTAAGATGCACTTAAGAAGTTCATTTTGGGTTGTTTTTAGGTACCTTTGAAGGCTTTTGAACTTTGAATACGAACTTTTAAGTCGTTATCTAATTCGGCGCTAAAATTCACCAGCTTCTTAAATATGCCTCTATTTTCCAAATTATCTTTCTCATCGTGACCCCTTAAAGCTAACTCAAAGCCACATTTTAAGGGAAATCAAAAGTTACCTTTTTCATTGAATATCTTATATGTAAAAGCATTGTTTCTGCATTTGCCAAGCGCGATCAAACTTCGACTTGGAAGTGATTTTTCATGTAGCTTTACTTACAAACTATACACGTCCATCCGACCACCTATTAGCCATTCCAAACTGAATGGCTACCATTGGGTTTTGACGGGTTATGATATGGCAAAATTATGGCAACCCTGTAGGCCTGGTGATTTGACAAGGTCAATGAAATAGATAGTTACATAGATTGATTATCCATATTTTTCAAAATAAACAATCGTATGCCTTGAACTAAAAATGTAAGCAATTATTTTTTTTTAAATATCTTAAGGCTAAAAATTGGTTTTAAAACACATTTTTGCTAAACCGATTCAAATTAATAAATATTTGCCAGGCAATATGGCCGCTCGTAAACGATCAGCTTTGAGCAATCTATATAACTATATATGTATCATTGACCCTGTTAATGACAACAGGGTTGCCATATCTAAACTGTCATTACCCACTGGTAGCCATTTGGACAGGTCGTTGGAATGCCTAATTATCATATTTAGTTTATTTAAAAGTTTATAGAGAAGCCAATTTAAATGTCAACTGTCAAAACTAATTAACTGTCTGTCATATGTCAATATTGTCACTGGATCTGATTATACGGTAGGCGCGTTCGTTTAATACTCTGCGAGCAAATCAAATATGAGATCTATTCCTTTTCATCGAAAATATCGTTCCATCCATACAATTTGTATAAATGGAACGATCTTTTCATAAGTAGTCTAGCTCACTGCTACACTTTCAGTGCAAATAAATAGATTAAATCACGAGTGCTTTTGTCAATATTGCCTTTTTTAACTCGCGGAGGATTAACCAAACTCTCCTGTTGAGCCAGAAGGAAGGGGGTATATTCCTTTGCACTGTTAAAGTTATTTCGTTAGTTCCACTGGTGCATGAATGGTCCGGTGTAAAATCCACTACACTTTCTTCTCGGCGATGTGGTGTTCACTGGTGGATATTTTCTACACCAGCTATTTAGCACAAGTGAATTACACTCGATATCGGTATGTGTATAAGGAATAAGGAGGAAGTAAATTAGGTAAATAGGGTGGTGTAATTGACACTGGTGTACACTTCATCAACAGCGAACAAAAGAACATTTTTTGAAGGAAGTAATAAAGATAAATTTGAGTTGCAGCAGTTGTGAAATATATTATTGTTCAAAATATTTAAATGAAATATTGGAGTTTGATAATATTGTAGATTTCTGATGATTGTAGTAAATTTATTTGAAAATAATAATAAAAACGAAAATAGAATACCTAGACATTTTTACGATGTTTCTAAAACGTTCTTGAGAAGTCATTCCAGAAACGTTTCTTTAGAAACATCGTAGAGACGTACCATTCATGCCAGAGACATAGAAATATACATAAAACTTAAATAGGACATTTCTGGCAGATCGGTATTATGTTATAACTATTAAATAAACATGTATATTTGTTTTACCTATGTCCATATTAGAGTGGCTGTGATAAATTTCGAAATGGGAGAGAAATGGCTATATTTTGCGCACAAAAATAATAGTAAATATGTTGTAGGTGTACAAAGTATGGTTTTCTTGGAATTTGAAATCCGTTACGCTGAATTTTTGCTGCTGCCAGGTTTGGCTTTGATTTGTGTGAGATTATTAAATTTGTTAATGCAATATGTACTGATTGAATATTAAAATATTGTATTTATTATGTTTACTATATATTATGTATACGAGGTGGATTATAAAGAGAACCTCTAACTGTAATTTTTCTTAAAAAAGAATCGATTCTGGTATTTCACTTTACGGAATACCTTTATTTGAATATTTGATCAGGATAAGGATTGAAAACAGTATTTTATAGAAAAAGATATTTATTTACAGAAATAAACTGAGCACACTAATTGTCCTGGCAAGAAAACAAAATATTTTCTGACAAAGAACCAATTGTCGAAAATTTACAATCAAACTAAAATGAGATTTACAGATTTATTTAATAATTTAATAGTTAAAATAATACGTTTAATGCGAATACGAGTAACTGCTTTGAGTTCCTCCGGTACCAGACCCTCCAGCGTGTAGTTGTGATTCATATTTAGATTTATTTTGGTCATACGCATTTTTGAGTTCACCCACTCTAGCAATTCCACCCACGCTAACGATTTTTCCTACCGGATAATCGTAGCTATAGAAAAATCCTTTTGGAGGACCGTTCTCTTCTTCAGACTTTTCGTTGTATTGTCCAGAATTATCAACTTCATTTGGGTTGGAGAACTTGCCACCTTGTTGATACTGGGTGGTTTGGCTGTACTGACTAGCTGAATTGTATGGCTCGTATTGACCAGGTTTTTTATTTTGACTGGGATTGGAATAGACGTTTTGGTTTTCACTGTATTGACCGCTGTAGTCAATTTGATTGCTAGGTCCGGGTTTTTGATATTGGCCTTGTCCAGATTGTTGATATTGTCCAGGTTGTTGATATTGACCTTGTCCAGATTGTTGATATTGTCCAGGTTGTTGATATTGTCCTCCTGATTGTTGGTGTTGTCCGGGTTGTTGATATTGATTCTGTCCGGATTGTTGAAATTGGCTTTGTCCAGACTGTTGAGACTGTGGATATTGATTTTGATATTTAGATTGTGACGATTGGGAAGATGATTGATATTGGCCTTGTCCACTTGACTGATATTGTCCAGGTTGTTGATATTGTCCAGAAGATTGAGAGTAACTTGATTGCTGATATGAACCAGGTTGTTGGTATGAGGTTTGTGGGTATTGAGCAGCGAATTGTTTTTTGGCCTCCAATTGACCTTGTAGGGATAGAGGACCAGATGCGTAGTTTCCGTTGCTGTCGTAAGGTTCGCTGCAAAAATGATTAATTTAGTACAAAATTGTAATTACATTAAAAATTATAATGCATCAACTAAATATTTTAAATTGTTTTTATTTAAAGAAACATTTATGGCTGGTTTAAGATTAGGACCTTATCTAAATAAGGTTGCAGAATAAATATTTTTATTTATGGTACAATTTTGATTCATTGTTTGAAATAGATTTCACTTTACTTACGTAACAGGATGTTGGTTTCTTTCAGCTTCTTCGTGCCATCTAGCTAAAAATTTATCTTTCTCTGCTTTAACTTCTGGTGAATCTTCTATTTGTTTTGGAAGGATTTTTGGAACATTGTCTATTTGATGGAAACCAGTACCATCGTCCCAGTATTCAACCTAAAAATTAAAAGACAATAATTATTTATTTTATAAATAATGTGTGCTATTATATGGATTTCAGTGTTTTGGATAAATGTTGATTACACCAGAAATAGTCGATTTTCTTTCTTAAATATTGTTGGTTTAATATCGTCAGCTGTTCTAAAAAAGTTGGGGTGATGTTACAAGGTTTTCGCAAATGTGTGCGGTACTGAAAGAAATCGATTTTTGTAGTGGGTCTTTAGTTATAACACAAATTAAAAAAATGTACATTTCTTGTAGTACCCTATAGTGTTATTTCAATTTCTTATTTAAATGAATTATTCCTTAGTTGACTATTTTCATTATACCTACTACAAGATTTTGATTGAGCTTAACCCTATATAAATAAACACTTATACTGATACACAGGCAGCAAATTTGTAATAAAATTTTAAATCAATACTGATTATAAAGGTGAGGAATTCCTAAATAATTAGAAGTAACAAATAATCTCCATAAATGTTATTAAAAAACAAAAATGGTCTTGTAATAATTGATTTCTCTCACAACGCAAATAAATACCAGTTATTTAATATGAAAATCTAAGAAAAAAATATGTTAATTCGAATTACCTCATCTTTATGGACATCAAATAATATTGCAAAATAATAAATGACTATTATTTAAGTTTACATATATCATTTAGGTAATCAAACAAAATAAAATTATTAATATGAAAACAGCATGACTTTTTTAAATGAATTTAATATGTTTAAAAAGGTTAAGAAACTTTTGGCAAAAGAGCAAACAATAATTTTTTTATGAAAATTTGGTAGGTAAATAACGAATAACGAATAAGAGAGTTCGAACACTCGATTGTATTTTTTTGATTTCCACGATGTGTTTGGGCGTTTATCAAGGTTAATACATTATGGGGGCGATTTAAATTTATAAATTAATACTATAAGAATAGTACAATGAAAAATGTAGTAAAGCAACAACAAAAAAGGTACAAGCAATAATTAAGTGGCTGAGAACAAATAAAATAGAAGATAAAAATGCCCTATGAAGAACTGAGAAAACAAACTAAAAAACTGATAAGTACAAGTAAAAGAGGGTGGATATACAATAAAATTAAAATAATTGAAAAAGGAGACAGCAAGAAAAACCAAAGACTTTTACAAGAAAATTAAAGAACAGTACAAAATCTACAAAGGCAAAACACAGGGAATAAAAAATAAAAAAGGAGGACTGATACTGGAAGACGAAGATGAAGAGTGTGGCTAAATTACTTTAAAGATCTCTTAATCGATCTGGAGACGAAAGAATCTGAAATGATAGAGGAAGAGGAAATAGAAGAAAGGGGCATAATTGCTGAACCAACAAGAAAGGAGATAGAAAAGGTCATTGTAAATAAAAAATCACCAGGAAAAAATGGAATTAACATCGAACTTATTAAATATGGAGGCAACAAATTGAAAGAAAAACTATTATCTCTAATTCAGAAAATATTGGAAGAGGAAAAAATATCGAGAGAGTGGAAAATAAGGGAGGTGATAACAATCCATAAAAAAGATGACCAACAAATATTTTAAAATTACAGAGGAATAACACTTCTTAATACATCATACAAAATACTTTCAGCAATATTAAAAAGACGGCTAGCACAAACAATAAAAAAGGTGACAAGACAGTATCAATGTTGATTCACATAGAGGAAAACAATTATAGATGCAATCCATGCAATAAAGCAAATAATGCCTTTGAATCAATAAAAAGAACAAAACTGCAGTTGGCCCTACAAAAATAAGGAATACCAATAAAGTTAAGGTGGTTAATAACAATGACGATACGAAAAACATAAATTACCATTAAAACAAAAAGGAGCGACAGAAGAATTCATAATTAATAAAGAAGTAAAGCAAGGAGATTCGCTATCAACCACTGTGTTCAACCTCTCATTAGAGTATGTGACGAGGAAAATTAATGAAGGAATACTGAGAACAGGGGGAGGACAAGTCATTGCATATGCAGATGACATAGTGATAATTTCAGAAATAAGAAAAATTATGGTAAACAGCCTGAACGAAATTGTAAAAAATTGTAAAAGAAGGAAAAATTATGGGACTAGAGCTAAACAAAAAAAAAAAAAAAACAAAAATCATGAGATTAGATAACAAAGCAGCATCAAAAAGCATTCAAATAGGAACACATGAATTCAAAAATGTGTAAAAATTTAGATACTTGGAAATCACAATAGCTTAAACTGGAGACAGAAAACTAGAAATATCAGAAAAAATATTCACTACAAATTAAGCCTTTCACGTAAATAAAAAATTATTTAAAAGCAAATTACTCACAAAAACATAAAAATGAAAATACAGGGTCATTCTATATGGGCGGAACACTTGATTTATGGCTTAACTATGACTTGAACGATAATTTGACTTAGATAAAAGTTTTTGTACATTTTATGTACTATTTATTGACGTTTACAGATTTCCCGCATACGTAATGGTTTTCAAGATATGACGTCATCGGGCAATATTTTAAATGGATCACCCTGTATATATATTTTTTTCGAGTTCGTATGATCTGTCTGAATTTATCAATGGTACATTAAGTGGGTCTCAGACTTACGGTCTTATCAATAACAATTAAATTAGATTATACTTTAATAAGACATATTTTAAATATTTTGAATGGATCGCCCTGTATTTATATATTTTTTTTCGGTTTCCTGGCAATATCATGATCTAATAACAAAAAATCTTAACGTCAAATCACAGTAAATACAAATACTTTTAGTGCAGATTAAGTATTTGATTATTATTACTAACAATGGAACGTGAACAAGTGAACGTGAATGAATTACAATGTTAATGATGGTTGGTTTTGGAGATAGAAAGAGAAGTTTACAAGAAGCTGCTTGTTTAATGCTACATTTCCTGACAGAATGTCTCTAATTTCTAAGTCGACAGTGTATCGAAATTTACGAAAGTTTAACGAAACAGGTAGTGTCAAAAATATTACTGGTAGTGGACGAAAGAGGACAGCTACAAATGAGGAGAAATCACTTCATGTACTTCTAAATGTTCATGAAGTACCTAAAACTTCCATAGCAAAACTTGCATTGAATAATGATCCCAAACAGCACAGTACGTCTTAAGTACGTACAGTTTTGGTACAGTACGTACAGGACGTAAAATGTACGTTTTAAGTACGTACACAATAGTACGTACCAGTACGTACAGAAAAATACGTACTAAGTACGTACCTAAGTGTACGTAATCCTGGTTGCATACCTATTTTATTGAAAAACCTAAGTTTTTACCAAATTTCTGTTGACCGTAGGCCAAAAAGACAAAAAATGCAAAGAAGAAACACATTTTATTTAACCTAACATAAACTCTAAACTAAACGCGCTCGTTTTTTAAAGCAACCACGTTTCAACAGTTTGTTATTGTTAGTTTTTTTATGTTTAAGAATTTAACTATTAAGTGTTTCTTTAAATAAATAATTGTGTATAATGTATTATAATTACTTTTTAGTGCGTGTTATAAGTACATAGTTTTGTCATTTTATTCTGGTGAGTGGTTTCATTTTAATTTTAAAAAATTATGTGTAATAAATATAATTTATAGATATGTCTCCCATCCCATAGTAAACATTACAAAAATGCTACAAAACAATTGAAAAAGTTTAAGGAAATGAATAAACAGGAGGACAAAAGAAGTGATATTTTACAGACCCTAATAATTTAATTTTGGATTTTGTCAAAAGAAGTATGGCTGCTACCTTAATAACTATAATCAGCTGGAAACAAATTATAATTGGCTGCAGTTGTAGTGGGTAAGATGTTTTGATTTTTTATTTTTGCATGCCAGTTTTCATAAAGTTGTTGCATTAAAAACCCTCTATCCAGTCACAATTATTTTTGTATCTAATGAAATTGTGTACTTCTAACCATTGGACTTCAAAACTGGCGGAGAAAAAGAAATAAAGGAGTTCCGATATTATAGAGCAGTGTCAGGAACAAATTGGATTTCAAAGGCATAAAGCCAAAAGAGGTGGATACAAATTAGAGAGGTTTACATCCAGGAGTATATTGACAATGATAATTTTGAGCCGTAGAAACTATCGCTTACTTTACTCTACGTCTTTTTGTTATGTTGTTTTTATTATATTACTTATTATAAAAAGTACCCAAGTTAAGTTTCTAATTTGATATTATTTCTTTGCAGAAGGTGCTGTTAAAAGTAGCAAATGCAAAGAGAAGAAGGTTGCAGAACAGGAAATTGTGAGATGGCTAAGAAAGCTGATGATAGTCTAAAAACTTTAAAAAAACATAGCAAAACAATTTAAATTATTCTTTTAATGTAAAAAATTAAAAAATTGCAAATTAACTTGTTTACTTTTTTTTGTATTGTACTAATATGTACATTTTACATCATAAGTAAGTACCAATAAGGATGAAAAGAACGTCTAGAATATGTACTCTATTGGAATAAGTGCAAACACAGTACGTACATAGTATGTACATTAAGTACGTACACAGTACGTACATTAAGTACGTACACAGTACGTACATTAGGTACGTACAGAGTACGTACATTAGGTACGTACAGAGTACGTACTTTAAGTACGTACTAGGTACGTACCGTCGTTTGGAAAATGTACGTATTATGTACGTACTATGTACGTACTTCGTACAGTAAAGTACGTACACGGTACGTACTTTACGTCCCATCAGTACGTACATAGTACGTCTTATGTACGTATGTGTGTTTGCTGGGATATTAGCCAGATCTTTCTCATCCATCCGTATAAAGTTCAATTACATCAAGAATTAAATGAAGATGATCCTGATCGACAAATGCAGTTTTGCCAAGAAATGATGGATCGAATTAATGGGAACAATATTATGAATAATATTGTGTTTTCCGACGAATCAACGTTTTGTCTAAACGGATTTGTCAATCGGCATAGTTGCCGGTATTGGTCTAATCATACTGGATACTGGATGATAGAAGGTT